AAGGAGTAAGTATCCAAATAAAATATCCTTAACGCATTCGGTACCAACTTCCTGCCATTCGACATCCTCCAGTAGTTTTACAATTAGTCAGCTTGTACTTAGCGATGTGTGGGAAATAGAACCACATCTGAATAATTTTCAGTGGCCCCAGACTTTCTCGAGTAGTCTTTAATTTTTATTGTGTATAGACTTTTCTCATGTCACAAATTGAATATCCCGTTTCTACACTAATGATATAATTTTAACGACATAAAATGCAAACACGCTTCTTTTGGGTATTGTATGTCTGTAAAGAAAAAAGCGCGATAGACAAAGACTTATATTATGATACAAGTGTAAGTAAAAAAAATCAATAACCAAAATAGAATTTTCGGATTTTCGCAACTGTACGATTGTGAACTGTGTGTATTCTCTACGGAGCTGGAAAGGGACACGTGCTAGAAGACATGTAGATGTTAAGATTAACTGCAGGTTCGACTTAATTTAAGTTGAACTTCACTGTACCTTACCTTTACGACGTACTTTCGTATCGAAATACTTGTTTTGCTAAACAATTACAGTAGCAAACATGACATTTGAATAACATAGTTACCTTTCTTATTCTTTTATATGCAAATCTACTATTTAATATCGCAATACAAAAGTAGTACCGCATGTGCTATTTTAATGTTTTTGATAAGAGCGTAAAACAATGGTGTTATATCATAACATGAAAAGAACTTATATGGGACAAACGACATCGATAGCATCATATAACGTTAGGTCTTGCACGCACTGCTATTTATATCCTTATGTAATGACTTATGTACGTAGTTGAAATTCAAGCGGTTCTGTGTCTTAAGATATGAAATCACAAACAAGAACCGGAATATCAGTTCTTGTTTCCGAATCCAATATTTTCCTCAATCTATACCCGTTTGGGTTGGAAGCAAAATTTTATATTATTCAGAGAAAGCTGGAAATTTTACAATCAGTAAAGTAACTTTGCGGAATGTCCTGCCTCCATTTGGGGGATTGAAATCATTTGGAAGTTCGCTAAAGTTCGAGTTTGATATTTGCCATTTTAAACGTCTAGATTTGTCTGAGTTTTACTTTTGTTGAGGACGCCAGACATGTGATGGATTGAATTGTAGCTCTTGCCTCATTCCGCCTTTTGGTTTAATTTTCTTACTTAGAAAATTGTTAGAGAATAAAGTAGATTATATTTTCACAAATGATATTAAGTAAGCACTTTTTTACCAGTTCTTATCATTTATTACTTATTTCACTTGTAAGCGCGATTGTCCTTATTCGCCTTGGGACGCTCAACTTGCTTTTAACAACGTAGTCTATGTGATACTTTCACACGTCCGCTAATTATGTATTATTACACGCATTGCATGTATATCCCTCGCATTTATAATAAAATAAATCCAAATTTTAAGAAACATTACAAATTGAAACTTGGCTCGAATTAAAAGTTGCGTCACTGTTCAATATCAAAACGAAAACAAGTAGCGTTCAATGGCCGTAAAAGTCATATACTTACTTTGAAATAAGTTTCTTTGGTCAGGTAGCAGTAGTTATATATACTAATATAATAAGCTAAAGAGTTTGTTTGTTCGATAGAGCGCGCTAAGAATTCCTGGTTGGAATTGGAAAATTATTAGAGTTGCTTGGAGCACTTATCGAGGAGCTTTAGCCTAAAAAACATCAGGCTGCGCCTAATAGGAGCGAAGAAACAAAGGGAAGTGTACGAAAACAGAAAGTCATCCTTAAGGACTACCAATATGTATGATAGAACAAGCCTTCTTTAAATCATCTAATATAATGTCCGCAACATATACGTATACGAGTATATATCTCAACAGGTATTATTTAAAAATCTGAGGAGGTTGTTTGCAAAAATAATAATGTCCAAAATAATTACTCCTCGCGGACTAAGTCACAGGCACAGCTAGTTGGTAAAATAAAACAGAAGAGTGCAATGTGTCCGGTAGGATTTCTTATCTCGATGTAGATTTAAGAAGATGTCCATTAATAAGTAATGTCCCGTAAATTCGAAGCGAAGATAACACGGCTCGCATCCAGTTCGTGGCTTATCACCTATCGCTGCCACGCAGATCAAATTAGCTTAACTCGTCTCTCGACTCGCTTGACAATCCATTTATACGGTTTACTGATAGAGGATTTAACGCAGGACTTATTAGAAATATATAAGACTGTTGAAAGGTCTTCGTCCTCTGGACGAAATCGCGTACCGGTTTGGAAACTTTTTTTAATTTTACATGATGACATTAAAAATTAAAATCGAATTATATTGAAAAAATTTGACGGGCTAGTCTTAGGACTGGCATCGACAGGGATCCGCTCTAACCAAACCGATCTGACACGGTGGCTTAATTGGTTAAAGTAACGACTCGAAATCGAAATTATAGGTATAAAATTTAGTACATTTATTGTACTATTTAGCTTGGATTTTTACATAGATTGACTCTAATTATATCGGTGGTCGCCCTTCTTTTGGGAACTGTAGGTATAACCACCAAGTAATTCAAACCTATTTTTTTTACTAAACTGTCTCGAATCTTCAATTAAAAAGGAACAACGGGTGACTAAAATAAGAATATAGGTAAGTTGAATTAAACAATCGAGGGTAGAAGCGAAACGCTCGTACCTAACTCGTCTAGGTACGTGAGAGCGCAGTTTCACCGTTTTAGTACTTTATCTAGTTGGAGTATCTGCACTTTTACACTTCTATAAGAACTTTTAAATTATTCCCAGTTCTGGCTTTGCGAAAATTGCTTTGTCATGCTCGACCTGAACACCGTTTATTACATTGTAATAATGGACTTTCCAGGAAACAAAGTGTTTCACTAAATTCATTCCGGATTTTACGAATATCAAATTTATACTAATGTAAAAAGCTGAAGAGTTTGTTTGCTTGAGCGCGCTAAACTACTGGTTCAAATTCGAATCGAAAATTTTTGTGTTGGTTGGCATTTATCGAGGACAGTATAGGCTATAAAACATCGCGCTGCGACTAATAGGAGCGAGAAAGCAGCGGGATAGGTGAAAAAAAGGGAAACATTCATCCTTGTGGGTTTCTCTTGAGTACGCTGCTACACGATTCAACACGCCAAGAATGATTCTTCTTTAAATGATAAAGCTTAAATTTACAGAGTTGAATAGAACAACAAATTTTGATGGCCAAAATAACTATTCTACGCGAACGAAGTCGCTGACACAGCTACTTATCGATAAGCACAATCAAGCTATGCCTTCGCTTTTTACACCGATTCTCTAACAGAAGAATGATTTGATGATCACAATTACGCTATGTGCGATGGACAGATACAAAATAGATTGACCGAATGAACGTTCTAGGACGACAGGTATTCGGCAATTCTACGCAGTAAATAAAACTCCACGAAACTCTCCCATATATCTTTCCCGGCTGACGCGTCATTTGTGATATCTTTTCAAACACATTGCGTTACATAACACGATTATTCTTTTGATGTAGGGATCTTATAATAGCCTATATTTGACTAAATTTACTGGAACGACAGTAAAAAGGTGTCTACATATAATAGAGTCGTTTGGTTTAGCGAGGCTACTGTTACTACTATATCGGTTTGTGTTATTGTACGTCTAAATAAAAAGGTAATGCTGATGCTTCACGTGGTCACCGGGCGACAAAAGGTGGAGGGTGTGCGTTGACATTACAAAAGAAAGTAAATTAAATGTGTCTTACACGCATAAACTACAGACAGTATTAAATGTATGTCTTTTAGTCTCTATAATAGTATGCGCCACCACTGCCGAGATCTTTTGAGAAAAGTTTATTTTATTACATTTCAGGAGAACGAACTATGAGGTCCAAACTACTCTAATGAAATACGTTCTATAAAACGTTCGACAATTCAAACGGTTGCATCATGAAATCGACGACCCACGTAGAGCAATTACTATTCCGCGAAAGGAGTTCTTATGAATCTCCTAGCTTTCGTTTGAAGCCATTTAACCTCCGTAGAGTTAAAATTACAAACATTAAAGTCCACATCAATAATTATGGAACGTCCGGGTCAATGCAGTTCGCAACACTAACAAGTACAAGTTTAATATTATACCGAGAGCCGGCCGCTATGTCATAATTTGCAAGAGCAACTTTGTATCACCTTAGTTCCGATCCACAAAATGGTCACGATAGTGTAGCTATCATTTTTGAAACGAGAATAATATTTCCTGTTGTGAGTCCCGTATACGGATCCCAGGAAAACACGAAAAAGTCAAGACAAACTTTAGGTAACATTGGCTTGAAATATGTACTTTCTTAAGGCAGTGTGTTTACATTGTTTAAGTTACCTTAACATACACGAAAAACGATATATTAACTAACAGTAGATTTAAATTGTCAAACCAAATTGATGAAACATAAAATAGACCATACAGAATTTCAGTAGAATTATTACGTGAATCACACTGAATTGAAATTATGTCGAAAATAACGTGAATTCAAATTGTACTCACCCTAAATACGAGCGGTCGCAGCGGTTCGAAATGCCTTGAAGCAAATAATTTACAAATGAAACAAGCAAACTTGTACATTCTGTTCACCCTATGACTGCTCATGAGAATCACTGAGCGAGGGTATTTCATAGATGATAATTATGGAATGGCGAATTCAATTTGTTTTGATCGCATTTCTCTAAGAAGATTTTGATTTCTCAGCATCGTTTTAAAAGTAATGTTCTTTATTAAGTTTGACGTGTCTATTTAATTTGAATTTCTTTATGAAAAACTTTATATTTACTTTATTTTTCAATTTATTTTATTACTTTATTTCACTTCATAAATTTTTCGTGAAAGTTCTTTAATAATATAAACTAAAATTTTCGACCGGCTCGACGTCATCCTCACAGCCTTGCTTTTGTATCAAAATGTCAGTGGTAGCAAAGCTACTCTTTCGTAAAAATAATAAAAATATATATTTCTTATTTTTATTGGATTTAATATTCTTATTCCTCACTTTTCATGTCATAACCTATAAACTGTTGTGGTGCATGGCCTATAAAGCTAGCAACGTTTTCCCAGGAGCTGGCATTTAATACCAACATTAGGTCGCACTCCATGTGGCTAGCCTCCACTGAAAATATTTTAGCGTAGTGAAAACCACAAGTTAAATACTATTTCCATTATTTTTAGCAAGTAGACGTTCACACACAGTTTAAAACGCGAAATGTATTACCTTCGAAGGCTTCGTAGCCCCAGTCACCGCTGCTACAAAGTACAAAGCATCCGAAACGTCGGTCCGTAGTTGAAATCAATTTTAATACATTTCAGGTTTAAAATACGTAAAAAGGGTTTGATTAAAATATAGAAGATGAGTTAACTTTCTTTGCCGTGCTTAAAATAACGATATTAGATATCCTCGAGACTAAGTCAGGACACGCTGCGAGTTAGTTCGGAATTTAGTTGATTAAATACGCCTGATAAATAAAATCTTCTCTTAGTTCAACAATTGCTATTAAGTTTATTATTAATATTAGCAGATACTCTATTAGGACGGAACAACTATTTCTCATTCTTAATATTGTTGATAAAGGTTTAATATTGAAGTAAGCTATATACTAATAATATTATAGGTCTATATATATATATAAGGTCTTAGAGACACGAATATTTAACTGTATATCTACTGATACAGGTATTTTTAATTTAAAGTTAGTTCGGTTCGTTTTCCACTGGGATTGTACAAAATAAGTCTACATCGTATCTGAACTTCCATCAGCTATGCCTCTGTGGAGCAATCCACCTAATTATTCTCGCTAGAAATATAGCGTAAATAATTGTAAACTAGAGCTATTTTAACTATAAACATTTTAATTAGGCAAATGGAAACTAACCTCTCATTTGATTAATACTGTCAACAACTTTTTGCAAATCTGATAAAACTCTTTTTATATGTGCTGTTATCTGGTCAAAAGAGTCAGCGTCACTGGTGAACACTGATGTTTTGTTTGATCCGTTCATTTTTTTTCAATAGCAGTCAAAACAACAATAAAAATTACTCGTCCTAAAAACTACGCGCCTAAAAGTATTAAACTGTTTTCCCGCCTTTTCATAAATGTAGATCAATCCTAAAAAAATCGTACTCGTGCACAGATAAAACAAGATTGGATAGATTCGTGAATGACAAATGATTTCATGAAACCAATTTGATTGTCAAATAAAAGGCGGGAAACGTAAATTTTTAATGTGACATCCGTCAAGCGCGGGCAATTAGCAAGCGGACCATTCAACTAAAGTGGCGGTAATGAAAAAGCGAGTGAATACATTAATGTCTCGATAATCTCGAGCAAACAAGTAGACAATGCTGCCAATCATCGCGTCGAGCGACTAAATCTTGCTTTTGGATGAGTTTTGGTATGTCGCCGCGTCACTCACCGAATGTCATTGGATTTATAAATACAATCAGCTCCAGAAATAGGTGGCTACAGGTTTTCCAGGCGTACCGACTAAAATAAAATAGCCTGGATTCGGTTAACAATATTATTGTCTGGGCTTACTGCGCGGCCAGTTCTGATTCCGCGTGTTTCGATACGTCTTACATTTTAATTCTGTGATTATGGACGATATGGATGATGGTCTTCAACAGTTTTCTCTACGCTGGCATAACCACCAGGTAGGTGAGTATTTTTATAAGATACACGTTTTGTATAAAACTTTGAACGCACGTTTATCGTATATTCTTAACAAGAGATGTTTTTTGTAAATAACAAGCAACCGAAAGGACTCGGTAATAAACAAAACTTTTCGTTACTCTGTTTATTTTGTTTGAAAGAATTTAGTTCTTTTCGTGTATATCAATATTGTACGCTTCAGAGCTTTGCGAGACGGCGAGAGCACGGAAACAGGTGTGAATAAATAATATTTGTTAATAATTTCAGATACACAGAGGACGGTGTTATCTGAGCACACACTCACACGGACACCACACTACAAATGGTGCAAGCGACTGCAGTGCCCCCTTACTGACTTCACATGACATGAAGATTTCAGTGATACTTGGTATGACTCTTTAAACTAACAATGCATTTTTACCACCTATTTGATACAAGCCATATTTACCCGAACATAACATCTAAATATCTAAATAAAAAAAATAAGTTTTTCTGCAATTCATTACAGAGCAGTATCGTCGGCGCCTTGGGCCGTATGCTAGATTCCGGAGCTCTGAGTGACGTCACCCTTAGTGCTAACGGCGTCTCGCTAAAAGCACACAGACTCGTGCTGGCCGCTTGCAGCCAGTATTTTGCACAAATATTTAAGGTAACTAATAGTAATACTAAAAACTGTGTAGATTCCGATTTTGTTCTAAATAAAAAATATGGAAAATACCACTACAGTTGTATTTATACTTTATATTTGTTGAAAAACGCGCGCCTACCATTTTAAGCACGAGGGGGCCAGAAACAATTTAATGTTTCTCTCATACAGGACATAGAAGAAAGCAACACAGTGGTGGTGGTCGTCGATTGTGACGCGTCCGACTTAAGACAGCTCTTGGCTTTCATGTACACGGGGGAAGTGACAGCTGCCCGAAAGCGACTACCTTCACTGTTGAAGCTAGCACATTCGTTGCAGGTCTCCGGATTGACGGATGCTAATAATTCTGTGAGTATTTTGGTATATTGTGGCCTTTACAGAAAGGACGTGACCACGAAATGTTTTGCTTAAATTGCCCTTATTACCCCATACAAATGAAAGATCGACACTACATTTTCTATAAAACAGTTCAATACGACAAAGCATTTAAGTTCATCCATGTTAATAGGATAGAAATTAAAAAAAAACGATTATAATTTGAAAAAAAATTACGGCACGGCCGAATTGAACCGACATCCACAGCGTTCCGTGCTGTTGCTCTAACCGATCGAGCTACCGTGTCTTAATAAAACTTTACGTTTGAAAATATTATATTATATATTTTTTATTTTCCCATAAACAATATTGTTGTTAATCTCAGTTGTAGTTACAGAATCCGATGGCTACAGATGAAGATGGCAATAATGCTACAACCACCCAACAGCGTCCATTAACACCTATCGATCCGGTGCAAGTTAACAATATATCAGATGCCGGAGATAACACTCAGGATTTACCAACTGAGCTGTTCGATAAGGAACTTGCGGAGATCGCGGTGAAAAACGCAAACGACAAACTGAGCAAATTGGATCAAATAGTTCAAAACCTATACAGCTCACATAATATCGGGAATTTAATTGCACCTCCTGGAATTCCTCAGCCGGTGCTTCAAAGTTTAACAGGTAACAAGGTTTAATATGTGATCAGCTTTATTTTGCCTGGAGACAAATGTCTAGAAAAGTAAGAACCTAGTCCATATGCAATCAGCATTTTATATAATGTTATAGAATTTTTGAAGAACGAAAGAAGAATGGTAAAGAATTTCTACAGAGACGGTAATGAGGACATATCGATATCGCGCCCGTTTTCCAATTGCCGACGTAGCGCGATCGATGTCTCACGAGATACGAGTTCGTAAACCTCCTACCTAAGTAGTTTGAGTATTCTACTTAATCAGGTGGATAAGAAGCTTGAACCTACTTCTGTATTCTGATTTTGGGTTGTTAATTAATTTGAGTAAATCCTAATATAAAAAAAATATTCCTATGTTTGTATAAAACATTGTGGTAAGAATCGCATCACGTTCCCACCTTCACCATCATAAATACCCGATCGTAAACATGTTTACATTTTATAACTAAAATTTAAAACTAAGCCTCAACATAATTATTACTTTTCAGATCCAATCAACGAGTATGACAAGAAGTGGCGAGGGAGCAGCAGTGGTTCCGTGTGCAGCATTTGCAACAAACGCCTCAGCAACCAGTACAACTTGCGTGTGCACATGGAGACGCACGCGGGCCGCAGACACGCTTGTCGCGCCTGTTCACACGTCTCTCGTTCGCGTGACGCGCTAAGGAAACATGTCGCCTATAGGCATGCGCATACGCCGACGGTTACGAAAAATACGGCGCTCTGACAATAATTTGTATTTTAATTTAAAACGTATACGTTTTCTCTGTTACGTTTACTTTTGTCTTATTTAAGTTTATAAATTCACGCCTATAAAGTTTTCTTAAAAAGAACATTTTTTCGGTACAGTTCTACAATAACAATGTACGTAAAGGATCTTTAAATAGAGCGACCTATAAATAAAACTTACCTTTTATCTTCATATTGAGTCGAGCACCAATCACGAGTCCCCCTCCGCTCGAAGAGCTCTCTATATGAGCTATCGGGAACTAATATTACGGCACTCCTCTATCTATATCGTAAGGTCAATGGAACTGTTGCGCACTTAGGCACAGACAGGGACTAGATAAACTCAAAATAAACTGTCTAGCTCTATTCCCGCATAGAGACAGCCGTTTGCAATGCGCGTTTTATGCCATAGTTCTTAAACTCTACAACCGAATTGTTAATCACAAATAATTTAGCCGCAGAAGTTAATGTGAAAGGAAGACGCGTTATTTGAAACAACTAATGGGTAGAAGAACGCCCGACTTAACTCTACCTCCGTGTAATCTTATATCTGTAGAAAAGTCGTTGACCGAAAATGTTTAATTTCTTTGTAAGATTCAATTTTTTTTATGTGGGTAGGTAGACATACCGTACCCCGCTACTGATAACCCCGGAATAGAAACGGCGGTTTTAAGAATAGGAATTTAATAGTTTGCCATTAGAAATAATTTATCCTCACCAATATAAATTGCTCGAAGCAAATTAAAACTTTTAATAGTCTTCAGTATCATATTTCGGCTTCAATTTGTATGACGTTTTAAGCTGACGCAACGCGTGCCGTGACGTTTAATTCCCACGAAAAAATAGAGATTAAAAAAAATCAAGCCATGACCTAATGGACGGCTTTATACTAAAAAATGTTTCACCGATTGTATCAAGTATTTCGAGTTATTAAAAAAATTATCCACCCTCACAAATGTTCGAGGCTTTCGTCATTTAATAAATCAAATAGTGCCTTTTACTTCTTACCTTCTGTAGTATACTTATAGTAAAAATCTTACGTTACAAAATTCAGGGCTCTGACGACTTTTGCGCGTCTACCGCAAATTTGTAAAAAGTCGCCGGTTGCTTTACTTCGTGGCCGGTCAACTAATGCTTGCACCGTTCTATCTAGGTTGACTTTTAGCATAGTAGCTATATTAGACGTTAACGCCACAATATCGATAGCCATAGTATCGATAAATTTAACGTTCGAGTTTCAATAAAACGGATAATTCTCCAATCCATACAATTAATAGCGTTACGAGATACGTATTTATTTAAACTTCACGCATAATGTATCTTGACGGTAGATAACAATTCTTGTAAAGTAAGCTTACTACAACCGTCAGAGCAGAAAAAATGTCGGCTACGAACAATTTTAAACATTTACGTGGAATCCAATTTCAGATATAAAATTGCTAGGTCATGTATGCCATCCGTTAAAAATGCGATGAAATGTAAAGTTTCAGTACTCACAGCTTTCTTGACTTTTTTTCCCGGTTTCTCGTCGACTCTCACACAAGCGGTGTCGGCGCTCGTTTTGCGAAATCAGCGACATTTGATTTTCACACAGTTCTGCCGTTGAAGCACTCGTTTCTCAATCAGAGAGAAAAATGGCGTTGAACAATTTTAAACAATGATTATATAAATGCTAAACTTAAGAGAGTACAATATAATTTCGTGAAAACCGACTCTACAATGACAGTTCGCAATAGAGGGCGGCACCAATCGGAGAGAGGAAAGCGACTCGTGATTGGTTGATAATTGTTACTGGATTCAATATGGATTACGGAAGGTGTAGCACCAAGGAAAGACAAACGAGAGTCAAGTATAACTCTTTTTTTTCTTTAAGACAAATTTCGCGTCCCCATTATTTAAAAAAGGGCCTCCTTTTGACTCCGTCCCTACGATATTTAATTGTTTAAGGAAATATAAAATCTATATATAGTAACTTATTGAGTTAGGATTATTTGTAACACAACTATATTTTGTTGTTTAGTATTTTTCTCTTTTAACATAGCGCACTACCTATGTGATAATTAAACAGTCAAGATTGAATAAAAAACTAAAATACAAGTGTACACAATTTTATTATCGCTTTAAATACACAGCTTTAGTAGAAAAACGCATAAAATCGACAAAATTCATAAAAATTGGGTAGTATAAAAATACTGTTCACTTCTTGTCAACGCGATCGGTTAAATAAAGCGTAAATGCGTTCACACGATTAATCGACGGAGTATCTCCTACAGTTCAAGACATCACTGGTAACTCACTACGTTCAATAATCGCTGAAACTATATTGTTTCCTTTGTGCAAGATAATATTTATTTAAACATGCTCGTTCTGGGTTTATCAATACGAAAAGTAATGTTTAACTTGAGTTACCAGCAATTTCTGTGAGATCTAAGTATAAAAACGCAATAAATATAATTTCATTAGAAATGCAGTTTTAGGAGTATTCCCATATATCTTAAAAAGCTAAATAAATACGTTAGTAATATTTCAAGAATAGAAATCTCTGTTCGTTATAATATAAATAGTGAATACGCGCAACTTAATATTCTTAGTACTCGGGATATTCAAAAATATTTTAGTTTTGAGAACAGAGCGGCAAGTTTACTTCATAAATTTAAAAATACAGTTCGTCTAAGTACTAATAATATTAAATTACTAATTGATGGTCACAAACGTGGACTGCTTCTGTTGATAAATCGTTAAGTTTTTAATAATACAAAAACATTAGTCAAAAAACGCAAGTCCACATCTGTTTGACGTGGAAGGGCCTTACAGGACGATTACTAAACGACAGAAGACAGATAAGCGTGGCTTTCACTCAATTTAGACATCTTATAGCATTGTACTTGCAAATCTTCACAGGCTCAAACCGAAATGTGAATTCACACTTCATAGCTTTCTCGACCTCCAGCGACCTGGACGACATTTTATGTCTATCTTTCACACGTTTCAGGAAAATATAATTTTCTCTTAGAAACGTGTCGGACCTATACATTGCTATTATTGTAACAACAAACTGGAATTCCAAATCAACTTGTACTGTTGTAATCAACGTGTTTTCAAATTCAAAGTTTTAGGTTGCCTTTGGATCTATATCATCATTCAGAATAAAAAGAAGCATAGTAGTGGTACTGTAAAGCCGCTAAACGTTCAAATTTTACATAATTTAAGCTTTAGCTACAGTCCAGATGCGAGTGTTGGCATCTTGACCAACAGAAGCAATGGTCTCGTCGTCGATCCACACAGCACCCGTAATCTGACTCTGCGGGTGCGCATCTGTAAATAGTTTATATTTATGAAATGTCTGTATAACAATGAGACTGGATCTATAAAAACGTGAATCAAATCTTTTGTTAAAAGCGTTTATTAAACAGATGCCAATATTAACTATGTATCTGTAACAATGATTAAGTTCAAACTAACGGGTCTTATACATTTGAAGAATATATTTAGATTTAGATTAGATAGAAGGGGTATTTATCAAAATGGTAACGACAGTCGTAGGAGTTTGTGTATATATGTTACTTTAACTGAAGAACTACAAATATGAAATCATTAATATATTTCACCATGTGATGCCATTCTATAAATTAGAAACCTACTTAGATTTTAAAAAGCGGGCGGGACTTCAACCAGCATCCATTCTCAGCGAAACGAGCTGAGGTCTAAATGAGTCTGAGCTCTAAAAAATTGAGCGACTTATTTCGTCCAAAGTGACATATACAATACAAACTATACTATCTAGTCACATTAAATTCTTAAACAAACGTGCTATGGCGTGGCATTCGAACCTAAGACCTCTTCAACTTAAAATCATATCTAAAATATGCAAGCAAAAAGTCCTTACTCTTAATAATAAGATGTTTGTTGGGCTGAGCGACGCTCCACACGATGAGGCTTGTGTCGAGGGAACCGGACACCACCCGAGCGCCGTCTGGGCTCCAAGACACGCAGTTAACCCGCGCCGTGTGGAAGCCCCACTCTTTGTTGTGGGCCAACTGAAATGAAAGGCAAGGAGGACCCGAATAACTATAATTCGATACGAGTTTTAGTAAATCCAGTCAATATGTAATTCTCGTATCTGAGTACTTAATGCGACATGGTGACAACATTCACTCTATTACTTCAGAATCTTTTATAGAAGTCAAAAATCTTTTTGGTTACACTACATTGAATATAATGAACTCACTTCGTCTTGAAGCCGCAAGTCTTCAATCTATTACAGGTTTAAAAAAAGATTAGTTATAGTATAATTGTTAAATTAGCTTAAAAGGCCATGGACGTCGAGGCCTGGGACTAGTTTGCTGGATTGTTAATTGATAAACTCTATTTCCTTCTAATAATAGTTAATTGCTCATGAATTACTAATGCATTGTTGCTACGTGTGGCAAAGACAGGCTCGCAGCGGACACATCAGCGACAATACCTAAGTGATTATATAAATAACTAATATTATAAAGCTAGTGTTTGTTTGTTTTTTTGAACACAAAAATCTTAGGAACTATTGGTTGGATATGATTTTTTTTTGTGTTGGAAGGCTTTACACTATATAATATCAAGCTGCAAGCAATAGGAGCGATTTAAAAATAGAAAATGTGGAAAAAATACTAGAAGATATTTATAAAAGAAACACTCCTTTTTAAATGATCTAAAAATGTTTATCTTTTAAAAATTCCTCGTTAGAACTATAATTTATAAAGTTGAGGAGGTTGATTGCAAAAATAAATTTTGTTGCCCAAAATTCCATGCAAAGTTGCGGGTACAGCTAGTATTCAATATGAAGAAGCGCTGTCCACATGAATTGCTTAGCCTGCAGTCGCTACCGGTTTGGTGCTATCCGGTACAATTGTAATATACAGTATCTGAAGCTAACAAAACACAATACCTGTTTCCTGAAAGACCCCTTGGTAATTACCTTGTATTCTTCGTCGTATAATATGAGCTTTCTGTTAGCATCGCAAGCGACCAGGTACTTGCAGTCGGGGCTATAACGAGCGTCGCTCACGGGACCAAGATGGACTAATTCCGTTTTGGGGGACAAAGTGGTGCCCTCTAGCGCGTAGATGTGCACTTTGCTGTCATCACCTGGAATTGATAAATAGTTTTTTTAGAAAGAAAAAAAATTCACTGTCTTAAAAGCACAACAATATGCACTAAACTAAAATTAAGCAAAAACAAATGGTCAAATGTAAAAAAAAAAAAAGATCAAAACCTAAATATGTTTCAGCTGGATGTTTTGTAAGGAAGTAAACCGACTCTCGCCATCAACAATATTATTGATTTTTAAATTTTATAGCCTTTGGCAATTTTCATATGTTATTGCAAGTGATGGTATTATATAAATTACAATCTATTTAGATTGGAATAATTTGATTTCAATGGCGGGATTTGAACGCGCATCCACAGCGTTCCGTGTCGGTACCGACCAATTGAGCTGTGGATGAAAGTTAAAGTCCGCCCGTGACGTCAATTTTTTAAATTTAAATAGATTTTAATTTTTTATAAAGTACCATTAACTTAAGTTAGCTACGAGTTAGGCCGGCGTCTAGGATAGCGACTTTAGGAGGATGCGTTTATAAAGTAAACATTAAATTACCTCCGACAGCGACGTGCTTATTCTGGTGATTGATGGTGACACAAGAAGGCTCATACTTGATGGGCAGACTTGTTTTCTTCACGCCGCCCGAGAGAACTATTAACTGAAAATTAATGTAAAATTCCAATAAGCTAAACAGTCAAATGAACATTTAATGTTTGTTTTATCATAAATGCAAGTTTGATTGTTATTTCTTCACGCCCTTAGTCAGTGAATATACAATAGACATATCATTATTAATATATAAACAATGCAAGCAACGCACGGGCAAATACTAGTTATAATTTGTCCATTTTATATTGTAGAAATCTTAAATATTTAGCACTCGATAGCACCTCTATCAAAAATATACTTAGATGCAAACAAAATTACGACGCGGACGGGAGTTGAACCGGCATCCACAGCGTTCCGTGCTGCTACTTCTATCGTAGATACAGACCTCCTTAACAGTCGCTACGATGGTGACATCGTCGTCCAACAACTGATCGACAGCGCGCGGCTGGGCACCGAGGGGCACTGCCTGGTCAGTGTACGTTGGTGAATCACCTGAAAGCGATTTAAGTTTGGCATTATTAGGCGTTTAGTAATTCATTTGAAGATTTTAGGAAAAGCGTCTAATCAAGGATGACTTTCATACTAAAAAGTGTGCTCGAAATAAACTAAAACGTGAAAATACTTATACCTTACTTATAGAAAAGTACGGGAATAATTAAACGCCTACTCGAAAAGAAAGATATGTGTTGGTGAGAAAGTAATTTAAAGAGGTTGATTTGAAAACTTTAATATTTCTTACATGTGCACAAGATGGCACTATAATAATAATAACAGAAATCGATTTTTAATCGATATATCTACATATTATTTTATACTGGTCTATCCTACTAATCTTTAAGTGTAGTTCTCTTCTATTGATCTTAAAGACAAACGTGAAGTCCACTTCATGAGGGTGAAAAAGTAACTACATAACATCGAAACCAAATGTGTTGTCGGCCTATTTTTGGCTTTGGAAATACGGAAATCCAAACACTGAAACCGTTAGAGACGTTCGTGACCCAGGCGGAATACCTATATACCAACCTACATTGAATATCTAGATTTTTCAAACGAAGTTCAACAAGTCTCAGTAAATACACAATTATTAGAAATATGTTGGATGTTGGGAATAATCGAACCCACGAATCGTTGATAGCCATGTATGACTACCATCACACGAAAAAACATGCATACATTATTAGTATCATTTTTAAATAAGTTATTCCAAAGGTTTTCTTACCCTCTGCCTGCGACTCGATCCGACGTAAGGTATCGTCAATTCCACAGGTGAGTAACGCCCCGGATGACGTCATTCGCATGCCGTTCACCTGATTTCCGTGACCAGCACCGCGAACTTTACCTCCAACACCTAAAAAACGTAAATAAAGTTAAGTAAATTGGGTATTTATGCAATATTTGTAAGATTTTCCCAATTTGAACCATGAATTCTTGAGATTAGCGCGTTAAAACAAACAAACGGTTCAGCTTCATATTATATTAGTATCTATTATATACATCTTTTTATACAGAGACACGATATCGTTGACAGACGATCAATAGGGCTTCACAGCAATTATTAACAACTTATATCAAATCACTCACCATTGCTAACATCCCAATGTGAGACCGCACCGTCATGGCTAGCTGTGTACAGACGCTTCCTGTCCAGAGATAAGCAGAGACAGGTGATCGGCTTGTTGTGGCCAGTGATCACTCGCAACGGCGTCTCTGGGTTGTCTATATCCAAGTAACTGATGTCGCCGGAAAGCGACACGGTGAGCAGGTGCTTGCCTTGCCATAGACACGATACCTGTAACATAAATAAGCATATATGTAATTTTAGTGTTAAGGGTTTGCTTTCAGTGACGAATGTTTCCAACAGAAATGATAATTAAATTCCGGTTAACCTTTTTCGTATTTTTGCTCAATATCAATTGGTGCACAAGTGGTATTTCCAATATTAAAAAAACGCTGAATTAAATATTTACTTTACAAAATAAGAGGTTAGGTCCGGAACCATTGAATCCGGCTCAGATTACAAACTTATTTTTATACATTTAAAAAAAAAAAATTCGAGTATAAGATCAAACCTGTTGGTTTTCAACAGCAGTGCCCATAGGGAAGAGAACAGTCCGCTGCATGCTTTCCACATCCCAGATAGCGCACGTTTTATCCCCGGAGCAAGAGAGTAACTGTTTGCCATCTGGAGACCAGGATATGCCATAAACACCACCTTTGTGGGCAGGGGAGCCGATCTGAAATCATCATTATTATTATCAGCGTTTGAAGTATTCAATGAGAATATTCATAACCTTTCATTTTGGACATTTGCTTGACTGTGGAATTTTTGATTCTAGGCTTTCTTCATATTTTCTTACGATCACAAACACACACTTTGGTTACACAACCAGATATCAACTTACGGCATTACAATAAAGATAGGATCTCATTTCATGCTTTATTTATCTTAACAACTAGCTGTGTAAGCAACTTCGTCCGCGTAGAATAGTTACTTTGGGCGTCACACAACAATTTGATTTGCAAACCTCCTGTTCAACTCTATAAATTTAAACTTTTACCTACGACATCTTTCGCATCCCGTAGTTCTAGCAAGTTAATCTTAAAAGATAGACATAGATCATTTGAAGAGAAATAATCATTAATATATATATTTTTAAGTTTTTTTGTACCGTTTTCGCAGCATATGCAGCGGAAACCCACAAAGATCAATAGTTTTCACCATTTTTTCCACCTTTCCTCACTGTTTCTTCGCTCTTATTAGTCACGGCGCTTGATTTATAGCCTAAAGCCTGCCTCGGTATTTGCAACTTTTCAATTCGAAACAGTAGTTCATGAGATTAGCGAGTTCAAACAAACAAAAAAAATCTTCAGCTTTATATATTAGTGTAAGATTAACTCACCTCTCCCTTAAGTTCTGAGGTCTGACCGTCGAAGAGGAAGATCTTGCCATCGAAGCCAGCCGATGCGAAAAGTTTGCCATCTGGACTGTAGCGAACCGCTTGAGCAAAACGAGTGTGTTCCTATAAGATTAACGGCGGTAAAATTATTACATTCAATTTTAAACAAAGTACTCAATCCGATACGAGGTAATCGTGATAATGAACGAATAATTGAAAATAAATAAACTTAAGGAATCGAAGTAACTTGTATCAAACTAGAGCCTAATCTACAAACTCCTAAAACCTTGATACATTGCCAGAAACTTATAATAGTAACTGTGGAGGCTGTAAAGTGTGAGAGATGTGTAATTTTATTAAATCTTTATTTCTCGATATTTTCATTAATTTCAGATTTTTTTTTGTGGATTAGACGAAAATAATAAATTTGTTTTTGTGTAGGTAGAAGAAGTTTTATGACAGGTAGTAGCAACTTTTCTTCTCGGTCTGTTTCCCCTCACCTGTTTGGTACACTTGAACTTGAAGGGTGGTCCCTCAAAAACGGCCAGCGTGTTGTCCTCCGATGCTGTAACGATGCGGAAGGGCCTAGCGGGTCGGAAGTCGACAGAATTGATGGCTTTCGACTGGCCACTGATCTCGCCTACCGAGGTACCAGTTTCTGACATAAATACGTGACCGAATCTGAAATCAACGTTCAAGATGCCATAATCTTTACAACTTTAATTTCATTACATAACTTTTTTAAGACAGATGGCACAAGCATGGGGCTTATTTCAAGGAAGGTAAAATACTCAAGCGATATAACATCTAAACATGATACGCCATAAATTGTTATTTTGATATTCGGAATAATTTATTTAAGCGAATGGTACTTTTTAATAACGGATTTAGGTCAATGAAACGAAAATAAAGTTTCCAGTTGAGATTTTTGTACATAAGCGTAAGCAAACCTACGACAAAAATATAACCACACCGTCTTTAAAGTATTATGATACTGTAAATGGTATATACTCGTACCTTTCTCTCCCTTCGCCGACAACGACCATCCTCTGGTTATCAGAGCTCCACGCGATGTCTTTGATCGGGCCACCGATAGGCTGGAACTCATTCTTGAGGATGTGCTCCTTGTTGACCGTGTCCCAGATACGCACCTTGCCAGAAACATCTGCCGAACCAAAACGCTTATTATAGTATGTCCCAAGTGAAGTGTTATATCCCGTCGGGAAAAGATGGCATGCGCAGGACCTGGTCTTGCTGAAATTAGCTCGACATTTGTCAAGGTCATACCAAAAATACTTTGTTGTGTGCATTTTATTCAATCTTAATAGTAAGTGTTAGGCAACGAATCGACCACAACACAAATAAATTCTTAAGCTAATATATTGAGGTGGGGAAAAATAAAACTGCCTGTTATTTTAGCGCAAGATAATAAATCTGTTTCTATTTTTTTTCTTTTAAATAATCCCCGAAACCTTGATCAAAACTCATACATATGATATAAACACAGATAAAAGCAATGGGTAATAATAAGAATCCCATTAGACCTTTTTTATAAAAGAAATCTAAATATTCATAGTTCTACTCTCGCAAAAGCTTCTATAATAAGCTAGCAAAAACGATCACTGTGCAATATTGATTGTTATTTATGTGGCGACTCATTTTAACTAGAAGCGGTCACGGTCACGGACTGTTGCCTAAAAATAAATTGCCAACTTTCCCATATAACAATTAATTCGGTGTATTATCCTTATTAAATTGAAAAACAAAAAAAGCCGCCTACTCTAGACGTTTCCTAATTTTTTGACAGAGGCCAGTCAAGCGTGGATTTAACGGATGTCGACGATAGATGACGTCAATCGTTTTTGGGATACGCCGATGTACACTTTCCCACTTTTCATCTGTGAATATTGGTTCACGCCCCCTCTATAAATGTGATACATAGTAGGAGTATATAAATGGCTGATATACGTCATATCTCGTTGTTGAAACTGTAAAAAAACACCCAAACAACGTTTACAAGCAAGCTTCGTATTTTTTTCTAATTAATATTTCCAATGACGAAAGTGGATAGATAAATGTATCTTCACTATAATCATAAAAAAAACTAGTCAGATTCATAATTATAGCTATGGAAACTTGATACGAATCAGAGTGTAAAAGTTGTACAACAATTTTAGAGCGATTGTAGGCGATAGGAGGGTTGGAGTGATGCCAATTAGAGCGTGGATCCCTAAAACATAATGTTCAGATCTTGCGAATATACCTATAATTACCTATTTTTATCATTTAAAGTCTTATAAATAACATTTCATTATGATTAAGTATATTTGAAGATTCTTTCGACTAGACATATTGGGACATTACGAAAATACATGTGTATTTCTTTAAAATCTTTAAAATTCTTTACTCTCAGTAATATTTTTTGTTTTAGAATAAATTGTTTACAAAAAAGACACAAACGTTGATTATTGATCAGAGGTATTTCGTATATATATGAGGCTGCTAGAGGCAGAGTGGCCTAATAACAAAAAATATGATTTTCAATAAGAAGGAACATAAAAATGCAGAATTAACTTTGACTATTATTTGTGTAAGATTTATGGTAACAATTGTATACCCTTGTGCTCTTGTAGAATAACATTTTTATATTGCAATTTTTAAAATTCGAGAAATAAATTTGCAGTTAGGCTACTCTGCCTCTAGCAGCCTGATACATATATAGTTTTGCCTTTACTTTATTCCTTATATTAAATTGCCAAAACGTTACCAAATTTAGTTGCTAAATAATTAGCTAACAGGTGTATACTATATAATTGTGATACACTTTCCTTTGTTATCATGTATCAATTTCCCGATGCTATTATATCCTTAGGCTAGCCTTACAGCTCTTGCAACAAGGCCTCACCTATGAAATTAAAAATCTAATGAATTCAAAAATAGGGGGACCGGGAAGGTATTGTTCTCTCCTTTTTTATTTAACTCCTTACATCAAATTTCCATCTCCACCTTGTCACCATCCAATTAAATTGGGAAAGTAACAGGTGTTTGGGTTTCTCTTCCGAATGCTCCATCACTTTTCAAATATCCTTACAATAAATGGCTTATCCCAACCATGCTTTTTTAGCATTTAACCCCAAACTTTTTTTTTGTGGAGTATTCGGATTGTTCATTTTGAATTACTGAACCTAACTTTACTAACCTCTACACTAATCATATCTTTTTGAAAATCCATTTCACCACTCATTCTCCACCATAAATGAAACCAACTTAATTGAATTGGGGGGAGTCTATCTATTTCCTTTTCACCTCTTTTTAATGGAAAATTTAATTTGGATGATATCCAATGCCATCTTAGATTTTTCAAAAACAATTATTTTTATGATAGTGAATTTACTATGGTTATTGATGGGGAAACATCATTGATTAAAAATAAAGACTCTAATTAGTGTTTTATTTACGTAAAAAACGACATTACTTTCCGGTCCCCCTAATACTTATGTGTTTTTGTTATATAAGTTCATTAGCCTGAGAGGTACATAAAAATAAATATGGAAAAACAGGTTTACCTTCAACCTGTTTAGGAGAAGTAAGGGTTCATGTAGACAACAAGAAAGATATGATCACTCGAATCAATAATAGGACGCTTTCTAAAGATAAATTAATTATTAATTTTAATGTTTTCCCATTTGATATAATTATAAATATAATAAACATAAATAATAATTAGCATTGATTTGGTTAGATAGCAAAACAAATTTTGAATTAAATTTTTCAATACATTTAAACATGTCCTTGTCTACTAAAATAATAAAAGAAAAATTTTTCCCATTAATGAGACGTGAATATAAAAACACACCTTTCATAACATACTTATCTGTTAGATACGCAGCAAATTACAGGAAATTACCAGATAAGTTTTTTGATAACAACCTTAAAGTACAACAATAAGCATCAAATAGTATTACTAGACCAACCCTTCACAATGAAAGACATTTAGGTTAAATGTATATATAAATGTTAATTAAATAAAATATCAGTGAGTTGCATCTGCAGTACCACTAGCCAGTAGGCCTTTGGCATTTAGTAGTTTCACTCGGACAGTGGAAACTGTATTTTTATTATTTTCTTTTGGGGACATGGATAAAAAGCCTGGAAATCCACATCATTTGCTGACCATTCCGTGACTTAGTTTTATAGCAATACATGTAAACATCTTTAGTAACTTTCCGTACTGTAAGAAAGCAAAACCTAACAGGAGTGGGGGCTGATAACACATTTTTAATTCTCAACTTAAAAAGAAGTCTTAATGAGGTCCTTTAAATAAAGAGTGATAAGATGGTGCTCACTTATGCCCATTTATGGAAGTGTTTTGCACACAAACATTGCATGAGTCATGAAGGTAGGAGATGAATAAATTGTGTAATTAATTATGTGGGTTTTGGCTTTATATTTATTGATATCAATGGACATACTAAATTAGAAGGAGTTTATTTAAAAAAAGGTGGTGTTTAGAAAATTTGTAAGGTCATTTTCAAATATTCCATTTGATCTTGTACCATAGTAAAGAACCAAGTAAGAACCGTAGTAAGAGGAGAAATCCAATAAGAATTTGGTTATAGATACATGATTGCAAGAAATAATAGAATTACCTCCAGAAGCAATGTAGAACCCGCTTGGAGAATATTTGGCAACATTCACTTGACACGAATGCTCTGTATATACATCGGCGATCGCCGGGTTTTCAATATCACGAATGATAACCGAATTTCCGTTGGAGTATAAAAAGTTCTTCCCTTTGGGGTCTCCTCCCAACACCAGAGGTGTACCACGCTGAGTTCTCGGCAGTGCCGCAAGGGTATACTCTGTAAAAGGACACAAGAGTCACAACCGGACCGAAATTTCTATTAACAAACCGACCACTTTTATGGCATCGTGCTTATAGGACAACGATATTTATAACTTACTATTTGAGTAAGACATTATTGTGAAGATACTGTTTTGATATACTTTCGTATGTCACTGCGCCGAAATCTCTATTATTATTTTTTTACTTTTAACAATTTTTATAGAAACAATCATACAGCCGCTAACACTTCATACTTTCCTTACAAAAGTAAAAAATTACATGACATTTATTGACAATGTATGATTTGACAGTCATATCACGTTGGTGCCGAGAATGTCTAATGTCAACGTCAAATTTTAATTCGAATATCTATTATCTAATTACTTTGAGTAATTTTATAATAATTTCAATTATAATAGTAAATATTTAAGCCTACAATCTACTAATCTAAAGTTTGATTTTAGTACATCATCCAAAATCTATTATTCTTAGGTAACATTATATCGAGTTGGTACGGAAAATGTGAACGAACTGTAGAAGGCGTTCTCCATTCGCAAACAGCCAATCACCTTTAACTTGATCTTCGTTCTTTTGACTTCATACTTCAGTCTTCTTAATTCGTCATTTAAATTTAATACCGCGTGGCGTGTAGACGGAATGCTATCGAATGTTCAAGTCCATGTCGAGACTTTGAAGTCATTGCATCATTTTCTTTAATTTACAGTGTACTTTCATTTGAGTGCATCTCACAAACAATGTGTGCAGTAAACTGCGAATATTCTTAGATTCACTACAGAATTTCTATCCTTTGTTTGACGTCTAATTCCACGTGGTTACTGTCAGGACTTTAAGACGTGTTAATTTTGTTCACGTTGTTTAACTTTGAGCAGCAGTGTTAGAATTATTAGAAATGGAGACAATGAACATGTCCAAATTGCATTTGTCTAGCGCAAGAAGTCAACATCCTAACGAAAATAGTCAAATACAATCAGAAGTGAAGTATGAATCGAATGTAAGTTGCAATATTATAGATTGTTATTATTTAATTGTGGAAGTTTTTCTTCGATGCAACCTGAATGCACGTAGAGGAATATACAGTTGGTTTCATTTTACTTTTATGTTCCATTACCCGAAAGCTTAGATATTTTTATTCATGACTAAGCAAACCTTAATTATAAATTGCCTCCAGACATTCCTGGATCCAGACGATGAATACCAGTGTGAATATAAAGAAGAAATATGGAAATATCTCTTAGAACAGGAATCAAAGAAACCAAATATATTGCTTCAGTCACCACAGGTATGTAAAATTTAAATAACTGAAAAAAAAACATAATAGTTATATAGAAATACTCACTCATTGCCATCGGTTTTGCTTAGAATATTATACTTTATTATATTTAATTTTGTTTTTCAATTAAATTTGCAAAATGTAATTACATGAATTAACAGTAATATGTTTTAATTTATATGAGTTGTCCAGTTTTTTGAGCTATAATGCAAAACAGTAAACATCACGAAGTAGATTGGCAAGTGAGATATTTGCAACCAATTATAATTGTCAATTCATACCGACTTGCTTATAATATATACTGTATAATGTATATTATTATGTTTACCAAATACTAGAGGGATGTTTTATTTCTAGACATTAAAACCTTTTAGGAAGCCGCAGGATCAAACTGTATATCTTAAAACTCTTATTCAATGGCTGATGCAATTTTGTGGTACATTTCAAATTGCATAATATTTATTAGTGTGCTATTACTGCTACATTCACTTTGTTTAAGAATGTATTTCTTGATAACTCACAGAAGCTGACTTAGGACTGAGAAAAATAATTAAATAATAAACATTACGATTGAAATGTAAGAATCCCTTTTAAATTTAATTGATTAATAAATTGTTACATTTTCATAAACAATATTTGATTAAATTTGAAAACATTTTTTTAACAGTTTTAATTAACATTGAAATAAATCAGAATAGGTCATAGTTAAAATGAAAGATTTTTTTATTGTTGAAATTTTTGTTTAAAATAAATAACATTATTCAAAATTATTATTAGGTTTTGTAAATGAAAAATATGTATGCATTTTATATTTAGTTAAAATGTTAATTTTAGTAAAGATGAATTTCTCTTATCCTTGTAACATTTTTTAATCTTAATTAGCTGGAGTTCCGTGGTGCACTCGTAAAACAGTTACGCGAGGTGTCCAAGAAATTGGGCTTGTCAATAGCTACACTGCACTCGGCTGTCGCTCATTTGGATCTCTTTATGGATGCACATAGATTAAGATCCGATCGGCTTACACATGTTGCATTAGCTTGCTTGAGTCTTGCAGGTGAGTTATTGATATAGTTCATTAAATTGATAGTTATTTTCTACCGGTACATAATACCAATGTGGTAGATTTAATGTCTATAATAATTATTAAAGAATCATTTTAAATATCATTAAACAGGTAGAAATCGGTTTGGTATTTTTGGGTTTTAAAGGGTAAAGTCATCGCACGAAGGTCAGCCTAATGTATTGCGAAATATTACGAAATCTGGCGACACATTAATGAAAAGCGGTGTCTATTTCAATGTCCTTTTACGCAGCAGTGAATTTACGTAATTAAATACGTAGAAAGGTATATACATGATGTTGTCTATGTTACAGCGAAAGCGGATGAAAAGTTTAGTAGAGCACCAACCCTGAAGACACTATCTAAAGTGAGCAGCGTTCAGCTGTGTGGGAAAACCTTCAGGCAATTAGAATGGATGGTGGGCCAGCACGTAAGATGGAGGCTCCTTGCCCCTACGCCGGTGGCGTTCGCGTCTTTGCTAGCTCAGTATGTAGTCGCTGACAGCGACTTAACCACGAGGCATCCAAAGTTCGTGCGTCGGTTCAGAAGAGACGGAATGAAATTACTCGAAGCCTATCTGGATTTGACATTGTCTGGTGAGTTTTATATTCCATAGTCTTGAATTTCTGTCTGGGAATTATTATTTTTTATTTAAAACGGAAAATAAGGCTAGTCCCCTAGTTGGTTAATAATAAAATTCAATCAGTGGGCATTGATTCAATGCGTTTAAAAATTGTTGAAATTATCAGTAGATACTGATTCCTTTTATTGAGACTTAGTTACGAGGTATAAACATATTTTTAGCTAATTCTGATTATTTTCTAAGTAGGCTCATTAATGCAAAAATATTATTGACCTACCTACATTTTAAAAAAATAGCTAAAATAATAAAAGGAAATTCTGTTCCTTTAAGGATAAATAAAATAACTTTTCTAACTTATATAAACTATAATCGACAGATGTTCGTCTAAAAGTAGTAGAGAGTGTAGAAGTTGGATGTGCGTGCGTATCTTGCGCCCGCGCAGAACTCGGTCTCAACGCTTGGCCTGATTGGCTGGCAGATATTACCGGGAGGACCAAGGAAACAGTCGCGCCTGTCGCTCGGTTGCTACATAGGTACGTATGCGGTACTCTAATTCTTATTCAAATCTTGAAAGTTTCTAAATTTGAAATTGTGTACTTATTAACAATTTTACACGAAAATGATGCTAAAAAGGCCGAAAAGATAAGTTGATGTCCCATCTGGTTGATATCCTTTCATGGTTATGACGAAGAAGCGAATATCTGACAGCGCTGGAATCATATTTACACGGAATCTCTCATTATTCAAATAAAATTGACATTTTCTATTACAGAATGATGCAAATAAAATCACGAGAAACGACCGATTCCGAAGTGGATCAAGGCTATGGCAGTGCAAGGACAACCCCAAACATAACGCCATCCACATCACCCCAGTACCACATTTCTTCCCCCGGTACTTCTACATACTGCCCACCGCAAATCAACGCCGAGTACCTTATCCCAAATAATACGACTTTACCTTACTATACTAACTCCAATCAGAACACAGAATACAGGCTCTGCAAAGCGAGCAGGCTGATCGAGGCGAGCATTGAACCTTCCACTAGTATGGCTGTGAAACGGAACATGGATCAGAGTGAGTTAGAATTAGATAGAAAGAGATATAGGGTGTCTTTATCTCAAACTGTTCAATGATTGTTAGTCTGTGGGTACTAAGGTCATAGTAGTGTTTCTCAAAACGTTTCACCAATACTCTAAGAGTAGACAAATATGTTTTGAGGAGTACTAAATAGAAATACTCACATACTCGGTTCAAACACACGGTTGAAAAAATCAAAAGATGTAAAGCATATTCATTGTAAATGGCTATGTCTATACTACCATTATATTCTATCACCTGCAAGAATGTTATACTTGTGTCTGTAGACATGTAGTAATCTCATTATGCTTTCATTGAATTTCTAGTAATACTCGTTCTTATAATTTTCGAGTCAAACTAGATAAAATCTAAACGACTAGTTGTAGTAGTGGCATAGTCGACATTAAGTGCCTCACAGTATGACCTTATTCCCACCTGTGAACGTGCATATTCCCGAATATCAAGCAAGTTCCTATAGAGCCAATTCTATATCATTCCGTCATTTCACAAAGCATTATCTTGAATATGTATGGAATGGTATTATTAGTAGCATTTATTTATTCATTTGTATAAAACTATTTTAAATTTGTAGCTAAGGAGAGTGGCTACTGGATAACCGATATTTTTATTGATTTTGAAAAATTGTTTGTCCGGTAGCCAAGATTATAACCTCATTAATGCCTCGTAGTACGTTTTATACTGAATATTTAAATTTAGATAGGTAGTAAACAAATTAATTAATTGAGTTCACGACTCGCAAACATGACATTAAAACAATACTGCCATTTTTCATATGAACACATACGATAATTAACTAGGAACTCGTCTTTACATTCGTAATTCCTAGCTAGTATATTCCTAACTTTAAAACCAGAAAGTTATTTTGTTATACGTATATACGTGGTTTATTATTTTAAAGTTTTTCTTTATTTTCCTGTACATTTAGTTTTCCAACTAAATAGAGTTTTTGGCAGTACAAGGTACCTAACTACCTATAATTTAACTGTGCTCTGCACTTGCAGAAGCGATACTACCCACACCTTGTAAACCTTTTATAAGTGGCTATTTAGATTCAAACGGCATTACTTTTATCGCCTATGTAATCTGCATATTGGATGCTCTGTCTTATATTGTAGTCTGTATTTCTGTTCACACCGACCCCTTGCATTTACTATTTCCTGTTTTTTCTCCTTTTTCTTTTTCCCCCCCGAAATATACGTTATTTCTTTATAAGTTATAATTGACAGATTTATTCAAAGTCGCAAAACGTTTCTAAGGTTTAAAAAACTAAATTGATTTTAATAGCAACTGAATCCCAGTTTAGTTCCCTCATCTGTGACTTTGCGTAAAGGAATCGTGCAGTTAATCGTGCAGATCTAACTTAAATTAATTTAGACTAATCCATGCATGTGACGAGGATTTCAACAGTTATTTTTATTATAAATAGATTTTTAATCTCGTATCAGTTTTCGATGTAACCCGATGATTGTTCGAAATCCACTGTCTATTGCGTTCACCACATCGAAACGATTGTAAACATCACCATAAGTTTATTTTAGTACTAATTATTAGTTTTTATTCTAGAACAATGGCGTATACTTAGATATTGTGACAGAATACATTTTGTCTTTTCGTAGTCTAGTAACTAATCTAGTGACCGAGCTCTTACAAATTATTGACTGATCCTGACCTCGATGGTTTCAAACTTTTTATTTATACAATTATTAGGCTGATTAAATTTCACATTTTTCTGTCTCGTGAAAATCTGAAGTAAGGACGGGGTATGGTTGTGAATAGGATTTGTTATTTTTTTTGTTGGACCGCGTGGATCGGTATTTTTTTTTTGTTTTTAAAAATATTAATTGTTTACATTTATTCACAGGCACATGGGGAGCGTTAGTTGACAATTTCATTGAAAGTTTTTTGTTGTTTCGCCTATGATACAGTTAAAATTAAATAATTGAAGTCAAATTAACATTCTGCAACTTATATTTTTTTAAATAAATAACTGGGCGTAAGAACAGTGTCCTATCTATTTTTTGTATCAATCTGAACGTTATATGGCGGGGCGGTATTTTTCACCTTCCACCAAGTGCTAAGCTAGCCTGTCCTCTGTATTATAAAAAGTGTCATTTGTATCAAACTATTGCTGTGTTAGGCTGCACTGAATCCCTGCATAATAAATTGTTGATTTTGTTTTTGTTGGTATAAATTATGCGTCAAGTTACCATTGTATAACGAATTATGTAATAAAATTGCTAAATCAATACTGAATCATGTAGTTACGGGCTATTTTTGCATACCTTGATTGTGGTCAAGCGAAAAGTTGTTACGTTATTTGATAAAAGCACTTGCTATCAATCAATCGCCATCAAAAGGCTTATGTCGTCTTAATATTGCTTAGTTTTTGTTGTCCTTTTTTTTGAATCTACTATGGAAATGTAATGCAAAAATGGCTCGATTTTTTAACTTAAAATAATACGTTTTATCTATCTTGTTGTATTAATATTGTTATTATGCGCTTTCATATCTTGTAAAAGTTTGATACGATTTTACTCCAACGAATTTGACATATTTAAATCGTATCGAATTTTAATAAATGCGCATCATTCGACTTGCATCTTTCACTCGTGCAAGAGTTTCAATTTAGACTTTGAAACTCGAAAGTATATAGGACAGGGCTACTCGAGGAGAAGCGGTTTACGCTTATTTATGATCAAAATGGTTTTAATTATGCCGAGAAGTGAGTTCCCTGTCCATCGAATGCCTAAATGTTTGAAGTGATGCTATTATTACAGCAATATATCGCTTAAAGACTGATGTGATGGTTCTACTCGATGTACGATTGATATAACGAAACCATAATTTTTGTACTTGTTAAATAAGTTTAAAGATGCAACTTGAAATAAAGTATTTACTCTAAATGGGTCTTTTACTGTTACATATGTATCTTAGATATACCATAGCGTGTGAGGTTAACTTAAGGTGTTGGGCAACTAATACACTTAGAAATAAAACACAGGTCCCATAGTTACAATAAGATTTACTTTCACACGTAAAATCAATTCTATTTGTGCTTGAAGACGGTGAGTTGTTGAATGACAAAAGGCGGTTCGCGCGAGTGAGCGCAGGAAAATTCAACCCTAGGCATTAAAATTCAATTCCATAGTCGGACGTGACTGTCGTTCAAGCTAGCCTATATACTGTCGTATCGTCGATAGACAGCGTCGGGAGGCGGGGAGGGCGCCGTGGCGGACGTCTTCGTCTTCTCGGACGACAATCGCAATGCAGGGCACACAAGCCGATTCCGGCGCATCCGGACAAGAACAAAGGTAGAGCCAGGGTTCTCGTCACCATCGCAACTTGCTCGCCCCTCGACCACTTGGGCACCACGACGGTTGTATCGGCGCGCGACCAATAACAAGGGTACCTGGCCCCGACGTAACCATAATTCAGCGTGAAGTTCTCGCAGTTTACGGCCGGAGGGTACCCGCATCCTTTGATATTCACGTAGAGAACCGCAGGACGCCAGTCGTCGGAGTGGGCTTTATATTTGACATGTAGTTGAATACATTTGTACGCGTCGCTAGTGCAGCCCTCGCGGCACGACGCCCACGTACAATTATCGAGGCCGAGTCTATCGTCTCTTCGTTCTGTAACGCACTCTGCGGGTATCGGATCGAAATCTGCAGCCAAGGCACTTAACGCGGGGTCTGCGTAAAGTGGGACGAGAAATAGTAGTGCTGAACTCCCGCCCCCCAGCACGGCTGCCAAAGATATCGTTATATACCTCGTTAGTTTGGCACGGGTTTCGCCCCTACGACGAGAGGCTCTCACTACCAACCTTTCTGAACTTCCACCTCGCATTTTCGAGCACTGCGTCAACCCATGCTGAATCAAAACCTTGTTCTAAATGCACCGTTTCACTTGTCATGCGCCAATTTTAAGCGTGCGCAATAGGTTTCAATAATTACAATAATATAACATAAAACAGAGAAATGAAGGTTTTTTAGTAGGTACACTTCATAGGAGAAGTACGTGTATATATAGTAGTAGTAGTAATGGTCATTTAAAACGATAATTTTACATTGTTAAACCGAAGATCAAGATTAATACTTTGAAACTTAGAAACTTTGTATATCGTATTAAGGCATTCTGTATTTTAAAAGCTTTACTCCCTGCTAAATTCTATTACCTACTGGGTATGCCATTTTTTTACATAGCACGAAAACAAACATACAAAAAAGAAATTTTCTTTGTAAAAATTGAATCAGATATATAATATTACTATATTTATATATCTATTATTATTATCTCATTTATTGTATTTAAGGTACTTACGCATTTTTATAACATTAATAAGGTCAAGTTTAGATGATATATATTTCCCTGCAGAAGGCTTCTCTAATTATTGTATTCTGTGCTACAGTTTCACAATTGACAATTCCAAGCCCATTATTTAGGTTAGTGTCATTTGAGATTTCTACTTCCGCCACCTTTCAAACAGAGAAGTTGAGGTTATATTATGTGCATGTCACGGGTTTATTTGAAAATATTGTAAACACATTCCTTAATTATAAACATAACATACAATAACTACATCAAATTATTAGGTATGTCAGTTCGATTATTTCAAACATTTATTCATACTCTGAAACATAATCTACCGAGACATGCAAAACTTATAAAACCAGGTACCTATCGAAGTATTTTCTTTTAATGCGAAGTGTATGTTTTAAATGTAGTAGTGGTCTTAACTCTTGAAACACATTTATTAAAAGAATCTTTTCAATGTCTCTTAATTTTTTTTCTTTACCTTCACCGTAAGTCCACCGATAGTGATAGTGATGATGCTTGCTTTGTTTTTGACTAGGTATTATCCCTATCAGAGCAGTTACGATGAGTGTAGTTACTGAAGAGCTAGAAAAAGACAATGACTTCGTAAACAAGCAAGAAACGCGTTTCCAACAAAGGCGACGAAAGCGACAGTGGGAATTTGATGAAAAAAAATCTGAAAATGACGAAAGTGAAGCTAAGAAATCTTGTGATACACCATTTCAAAGAATCAAAAGAAAGAAAATGGCCATGCTTTTAGGATATTGTGGTGTGGACTACTACGGGATGCAGAGGTATCATGCTGTCTTATTTGATTAACCCTTATTTTTGAAAGCAATACTGACTGCTTTTAAATTAATATTATAGAAATCCTGGTGTTCGAACAATAGAAGAGGATCTTTTAAAAGCTTTACAAGATGCAGGATACATTACTGAAGAGGATTTTGCAAATCAACAGAATGTCCAATTTCAGAGAAGTTCCAGAACCGATAAAGGAGTCTCTGCAGCGAGACAAGTTGTGTCAATTAAATTACGTAAGAGAATCTATATATTATATATTCTACAATAAATCAGAATGGAAAAATGAATCAGACACATTTACAAAGACACAATTATGTTATACTCAAGGCCTCAAACTCAAAAATCGAATTACATTGCACAAAGTTCTCTTGTTTTTATTCAATAGAGTTTAAATTCTATATTGACATAATCTATTTAATTTATTTATAGCTCTCGAGGTAAACATAGAGGAAATCAACAAAAGATTACCAGAATGCATCAGAGTGTTTGGTATCAAGAGAGTAACAAACAAATTTAATTCTAAATCAAAGTGTAATGCAAGGACATATAGTTACACTCTTCCCACTTATGTGTTAGAACCAAAATTATCTACGGATGAAGAGAGGAAGCTTTACAGGATAACAGCCGAAAAGCACACTTTAGTAAATGAATTGCTTGCTAAATATACAGGTACTAAAAGCTTTCACAACTTCACAGAGAAAAAGTGAGTGTATTTTTGTAATACTAGTTTTATATTTAGTAAGTGTTTTTTATTACTATGCTTACATAGATACCATTATGTAACAATGACTATTTACCAACAGACATTACCAGGATCCATCAGCTTCCAGATACATAATGAGCTTTTCACTGGACAGGACTTTCATAGAATCTGAGATGGAGTTTGCTGAACTATTGGTTAAAGTAAGTGCCATTTTCTATTGCAATTATATCTGTATGGATAATACAAATCCATGGCTTTTAAATTCCTGTAGGTATTCTAGAATTTATTTTTCATATATCATGCTTTGAGTTCTTTTTCAATCTCAACATTGCAAAAAATAAATTACCAGTCTTTCATTAAAGTAATCATTAACCAACAATATTTAGCTTTTGTGAATATCAGTAAATACATTTTTTTTAGGGCCAAAGCTTCATGTTACATCAGATAAGGAAAATGGTGGGCTTGGTTATAGCTATTGTTCGAGGTCACACAGACCAGGGTATAATGGAAAAAGTATTCAGCAAGGACAAAGTCATGTTACCTACAGCGCCAGGCTTAGGTCTGATGCTTGACAAAGTGAGATTTTAAGGATTTGTTGATCTTGTGCAAGAAATAATATTTTTTTTGTGTGTTAGAATGAAATTTTAGTTACCCTTTTTTGTAAATTTACAATTGTTAGTTATTTTACAAAAACGTATTATATAATATACCATTGTTGAATTCTTAAACATATATGTTGGGTAAAATGGTCTGAATTTTATCTCGACTAATCACCCTGCCTAAATCAGTGTCTCCGAAAGTAAATAATTACTCAATGTCATTCCTAAATATTTCAGGTACATTATGAACGTTATGACGCTCGATATAAAGGATCTCATGACAGTCTAGTCTGGGAAGAATTAGAAGAAACTATAGAAAAATTTAAAAGGGAACAAATTCACCCTAATGTGATCAAAGGTGAGATAGAGGGAAGGTCCATGGCAATTTGGCTTGAGAAAATCACTAAACACTCATTCAAACCCACTGAAAATATCACTGGTGACATAATTGATGAAGACAGCTGTGATGATGATGATGATGACAAATGCCATAATAATGACAAATGTGATGATAAGGAAACCATAATTAATGCTGAAAACATTGAAAATATATCTCAAGAAGGTTGATAATGCAAATATGCCTTTAAGATAAGAATTAGAATAAAGTACTACGATTTTAATATCTAAGTTATATTTTGGCAATGCCAAACATGTATATTTGGATACATAAAATAAAAATATATGCCACATTATTATTCTTTTATTTAATAAATTTTAAGCATCTAAACTACCTATTGCCATGGCTATAGCACCATCCCTAGTAGAATTACCTCCTATAAACCCAGAAGCATGACAAAATATACATCCCTGAATGCCCGCAATTTCTGATAATGCCTCAAGCGAAAAACCGCGCCAGTTTTCATGAAGTGCTTTTCTGTGAAAAAAAAATTAAATATAAATTCCAATGATAACGTCAAAACCAATATTTGGTGGAAATTAAATGTAAAGTAAAACCTTAAATAAATAATTAAAATACCTTAAAACAAAGCTGCCTGGAGCAACAGGCACAGCTTGCACTCTCCAAGACTCCGGCTTGTCATTAAATATGACATACTTTATTTGATTGGTTAGTCCCATTTCTTCTTCTAAATCAAACAAGTGGTCTTTCCATGGACAAAATTGTTTCAACACAAGTATTTTACCCGATTCATGAACATCAAATCTTGATTCCAATGCATTCTTCACATGATCTCTGGCAGGAAACCAAATGGATGTGAAGTAATTTACAGTATATAGAAAATCTTTACTAACTAAATTCATTGCTTGTCTAAAAAGGTCATCAGTGTCAATCGCTTTAGTTGAATTCCATTCTGGATTTAATCTACCAACTCTAGCACTCAAATGTGTGTTTATTTTGTATCTAGGTTCTTCACTTGCTATAGGCACACCATTATCTATGGCGTCTATTTCCTCTATAAAGTGATCATATACTTTTTTGTATATAATTTTCAAGTCTTCTGTTGACAGTAAACATTCTTTTGGTGTGATTTCTTTGATAACTTCTTCCCCATAGAAAGCATAAATTAATCCCGCCGAACTTAGTCTGTATTGAAAAAATAATAATTAGAGACAAAATATTTGTTATATACTTTACAGGAATTAAATATTGTACATTAATTATATATGTACTTGCTAAAGGTGCTTGAAATTTTCAAAAGACTATTAATACTTTACTTTATTTTGTACTTTTCACCAAAAGCAGGTTTTATTGAGCTAAATGTTTCCTTGAATTCTCTTTGATGATGGTCATATCTTTTTCTCTGGTGGTCAAAATCTGTGCCAACATCAACAACAATATCGCAGGTTTTAAGTTTTTCCAGATCTCTTGTGCGAATAATTTCTGCATCTTTGTATTCAGGGAGAAGTTTAAGCATATAACAGGCAAGAACTTCATCGCAATGGAATGTACCATCATGAGTACCAATCTGTAATAGGCAAACCGAATATACTTACTGTAGCAGATGAGGTACTTAATGTTAAATATTTTGTACAACAATTAAATGACCAAGTTTTTACATTACCGCTTGGTAGAATCTTACCTTCATTTTTTTGGAGCTATGTACCTGTAGAGTTCTGCTAAAACAACGATAACTTCCAGAGCACCGAAAGGCAGTGGGAAGAAGTGTTTTAAATGTCAACATTAAGTCATAAATTCAAAAATTTTCGCACGCCTGCTTTACTTTGTTTACTAATTATTTCGCACATGAAATCTAACCTTAAAATTCACAGCATTCATTCTTGACAGCTTGATCCTCGTGTGTAGTCTATGGAATGTAGAATATGCGAAAGAAACTTCTTAACAGGTTAACTTATGTGTATTTTTATAAGATAATGATTTTATCTTTGAATAATAAAGGGTTTTATATTCATATGTACTTCTTTTTTTATCAATTACATATATAAACCCTGTTTCATGACGCGACAATATAATTAAAATATAGCATATAAAGGTATTATATTCTCTAATAATAAAATTATAATCATTTTTAGTATGTATAGAAAAAATAGGTAGTAGTAATATGTATTTGTAAATAAAAAACGTATATTAATTAATAGTATGGCTTCCACCTTAAACGACTGGATGTTCGTTTCACACATTACGACTACAGATGGCGGTAATTACGTTATTTGGTGTTAATAGCGGTTGGAGAAAACATTTCGCTAGTAAGTAGGTCTTTCTAACTTTAAAGGACACCTACGTTAAGGACGTACATGGTATTTATTAGCAATAATGATATATTTAAACACTACAACATTTACATAAATATTATATATTACATTCCCTTTACAAAAATATTCACGTAGAAAGATTTTTCATAGGAAAAGAAGTGCAACTTTAAGCGTAATATTCTAAGATCTTTGATCACTGTCGCAGTTCGTGACTCATTCACCGCATTTCATTTATTTTGCTAATGATAAAAAGTAATAATTTTTTCCCCGTAATATTGCAAGTTGATTGTACAGAGTATGAATACGAACATCTAACATGTGGCCTATTAGATAGATGCCACAGGCACCGAACACCAATCTCGTTAGGCGGCTGAAACAATGGCCGTTTGCACTACCAACTTAGAGCGCCCTGCTAATTGATGTTCAATACGCCACTCCATCAACAACATTCCTCTCCATATACATCGCAGCACTTAACGCACATACTTGGTGATTAAGTTGCCATATCGGTGATCTGGTTTCGGGAAGCGGGCACGTGGGAGACTTTTTTGATGACTGTATTCGGGTGTCACCTTTTGCTCGTTGCTATGGAAGGAGTATTAGGTGATTTTAAAGTGAGGGGGGGGGCTAAACAATGAGGTCAAGTTATATGTCCAACAGTTTAAAAATTGTTTTTAAAACAATAATGTCCAGATTTTCAAATTGACAAAAATAGTGTATTTACGCGAGTAGTACACATTTAAATAAAACACTTAACGGTTAAACCGATTTAGTTACTTACAGATATATAAATACGTATCGTTTTAAACTTGTTTTATTTTGACAACAAAAAAAAACAGTGCGCTCTCGCTACTCTATTACAAAAAAACAAAACTTTGCTGCAAGTTGAACATCACTAGATATGTCTCGTTTAAAGAGTAAGCCAACTTATGAAATTCAGCCTTATAGAGAGCAAGTTTGTTATTGCGTTTCTTATTCTACTCATTTTTTGCAATGGTCGACCGAAACGAACTCATAAAAAATAAATAAAAAACTATTTTGAATTTATATAATGTGCAAAAAAATTTTAGTTTTCGGACTCATAGACTAAAAAAATTACATCTACATTGCAGCCTACGAGCATTGTACTAAAAAATAAGATGCCCGTAACACGATTTTACAAAAGGGTTCAGAAGACAGTACATCATTTGCGTTCTATTTTCTATAGAACAGTTAATTTACTGGTCTCGTCGTCAATCAGATACTTAAACCGATCCCACCATTTACCGTGTTCATTACGTTTTAGTGATTTGATTAAAATCTAAATTTAGTTTCAGCTGAAAAACTTAATTTTACCTTTGAAAATTGTATTATTTGTATAATTTAAAAAATTACCTTATTTTATTGAACTTTGGAAAAAAATCGATGACACGCGCCGGCTTTTAACCGGCGTCCAAAGAGTTTCGGGGCGCCGCTCTAAGCAATAAGCTGCGTGTTTGATATTTGATTAAAGCAGCAGCACGGAACGCTTTCGTTCCACTTCTTGTTATAGGTATACTGCGTTCCAGCTGAATTTGTAGAAAATGTAAACAAAACATTGATCATCTAAATCACCACTAACAAATGTACTGTTATCGTCTCATTGCAGATTATTCACTTACTGCCACTATTCAACTATACAGTTATTACATAATTTCACTTTTTTTTTTGTAATGTTAAAGTTTTACAAGTATTTTAAAATATGTTTTTGTTTCTAAAATAGCTGTCACTGTCATACCTATCAACTTTCTCTGTGGAAAGACAGTGTTATAGTATATAATCGATTTATACCTACTGAAAGTTTCGTGAAAATCAATAATCGATTTTTTATATTCCTCCTAGAAAAAGAAATCTTTATTTAGAGAAAAACACTAAATTTACAATTATAAACTAATTTTACAAACATACTATAAGAGATCTAAATATAATATTATACAACAAAAAAAAATATAATTTTCTGTTTTATATACTATATTGCAAAAAAAAAAATGTTTTATATGGTGAAATGAATCAACCTGGTAAAAATTAAATCACGGTCGGTAAGTATGGAAAATACTGGCCTATTCCATTATCACTATCACAATGAAATAATGTCCTGAACACAGTAACGAAAAAAAAGAAAAGTTCAAAGAGGATATTTTATGAAAAAAAAAAATACAACCGAAATAATGTAAATTTTAATAAAACTTTATAAATTTAGAAGAATAAATCAAAATCGATGTTTTCATACCATATTAAATGCCATGAACATTACTATAGGTACAGATTTTTTTTAAGTTTTACATTTAGCACAGATAATAAATTTGCTACAGCTTTTATAAATAATTAGGCGTACCAGTACAATAAGAACTTGAAAGAAAGGCATCACACACAACATCACGGAAAGCCGAGAAAATAACAGTTGCGCAACGTCGTCGTAAAAGAAAACGCAAGTTTCCGGAAGTCCCAAGTATTGGGCATCCTTGAGCGCACGAGCTTTTTGGAGAATCCAAGAGTGTGACGGGATCGGGAGCTAGGTGAGATCGTAGAGCTGAGTGAGGCCTCAGACCGTCAGTGCCGCACGAGATACCGCTCGGGTCGGTCATGCAACGCCGCTACGGCCGATAGCGCGCAACCGAAGTCGCTCCCGATAAACCGCCACCGGTACCGAACGCGTTCACAAAATATCACAGAGCAAAAACACCAGCGCACTTTGAAAGTTTTCAGCTCCGCAAACTTTTGAGGTTAGAATTTTCCGGCCGCTTTTCCGAAGTTCGCGCCGGCGAAATCCTTGCGACTTCAGATTTTCTGCAGTTGCATAACGATGCAGGCCGCGTGGAAACGTCGGTGCGGCGAAAATTTCGTGAGTGAAGACTAGACGTTGTTTCCACGCGGCGAATGGCACGCCGTGGCAGATTTGGACCGATTTCAGTTTAACGACTCGTACTCGGTGGCCGCTTACGAAACGCTTCAAGCAAAAAGTTTCGCCGAAAAAAGTTTCTTTGCAATTTGCTCGACACTTATCTGATTTACCCGGAATCCTTCCAGGGTTTTCGCCGCTCTAGACTCTCTAAGAAGCCGCTTCTGCAATTGAGATACTAATGATATTTAAGCAAATATTTGATAACGATCGGGCGTTATCGCGTGCCGCGTAAAAATAAAACTAATTATTGCCATATTTCACTGGCCTCAATTTCTAGAGTTAGGATTACGCTCTGTGGCTTTCCTCTGTGATATTCTGTGGTATAGGTGTCTGTGGTGCGAGCATTGGTGCTTATTTTGCCGCTCTCAGGGAAATGCTACTAATATCTATTACCTTCCCGATGTGTTTTACAGCAATACTAGTGTTAAGTTTTGAGTTAGAATTACAATAACCACAAGTGATTCGATCCAGTTGGAAACAGTAGGAAAGTGACACGGTGTTGGTGACCGCGGTTTTGAAAAATACCTCTCGCGAACGGTATTTCGAAAGTGCATCTAACCTCGCAGTCGCGACCTCAACGATACGCGTAAGTTTGGCTCATTACTCTTAATTAATTATTCGCCGGTCAGAACCTAATGTTAATGTCAATGATTCTATTTTAGGTTTTAAGTGCATATAATACAGTCTATTTCGCTATGTTCTATATTGTCCGTTAAAATTAGACGTTGGCCTATGCGTTTCGCATGACATAAGTGTATTTATTTTTCTATTTAACTCCCGACGCCATCGCTTATTGATAGATAGATTTATAAGTTGATTGTGCAGTAAAAGTATAATGTTTTATAATACTGCGATAACACATTTTGGTTTTATCTATAACGCAAAGTAAAAAGTCATTATAACTTACACGTTTAGGCTATCAAATAAGTAAACGCTACCGAGCTTTAACCTCACGTTATTGAATTTAAATGTAGTTTAAGATATTCCAAAGGAAAAGGTCGTGGCTTTACCTACTGTTATAATCTTTGAAGCAAGTAAAAATATTCACGGCAGTATTCTTTTAAACTCAGATGTTCGATATAAATAAGATGTTGTAAAGAATAAATGACATAGGTTGAATATAGGTTAATGTTTAGCAATTCAAATTACACAGAATGATGCCTCGAATGACCACAGTCTTTTGTATTTCTGAAATCACACGTCAAATATATTCTATAGTTAGTTGGTGTCTGTAGTTATTTCACATCGAATAAAATACGCCCTATTCCGTTAGGACTTTTGCTTTCACTTTCTTTAAATAAGCTCATGGAATTCATTTTCGTAATTTTTCACGTTTTTAATTATTTAAACGTGAACTTCTTGCTTGAATAATATGATACAAAATATAATACTTATAGATTATTTACGTATAGGTAGTAGATGGCACTCATTTTTATGCCCTTTCTTTATCAGTCATACATTTTATTTAACTTATTACTAGATGCTAGTAAAGTTTTAGTTATGGAAATTTGTTATGTTTTTGTGAAATTTTAAGAACATTCTGTACTAAAAAGATTTGATAAAATAGAACAACAAAACAATTAAAAATATTTTTGGACAGTTTTATTTATTTGCAAGACACGACCCACGGATACGTAAAAATTGTATGTAGGGAAAAATTCCAACTAAACGAGGCTATTTAAATTTTCTTAATAAGTCATTGTCTACAACTATTCGGGTTCACTTGACTTTCGTTGTCTTGGGCCGACAACAACGAGCGTTTGTGCTTCGGCGATGTACCTACTGAGAGGACATTGTTCGTAGCTTGTTAATCACTTATTACACAACATAATTAAAAAACCGTTTACCTAATTAATGACAGATCATTACGGCAAAGGCGTAGTTTTATTTGTTTTTTATTTTTTGTGACAGATAAGTGTTTGGTTCACATTACTGGTTTTTATTTCATTGCTTTAGATGTTCGGAAATCCATAGACTGAAAACGAAACGAGATTCACACTTCACGGCTTTATTTTCTGTGATAGTTCGTGACTGGACAAAAACTTTGATATTGCTAACACCCACTTATTATGTAAACATTCTAGATGGGATTTAACATGTTTCTGAAAAATTATGATCCTAATTTGTGTGGGTGGGAATCGAACTCATTACTCATTGATATATACAAGCAACCTTTTCACTAAGGAGCCCTTCAAAAGATTGTTTCATTATTTTGCTTTTGTTCTTCATAATATGCCTATGTTTCGAAAGATATAGGTATTTACCTAATATACTGCGTGCTCGAAGTGACATAATTAATGTAAGTGTTCAAATACATTTAATTAATTTTAGTAATTTCCAGATTACACTGTAAAACGGTATTCCTCTTATAATTACGCCAGGTTTTCGGGGCCCTTTTATAGAAATCCCGTTTTTCGAGTACCAAATTCGATATGAAATTTTACTGTCCAAGTTAATGTACATACATTTTAATTAAATCGTGATAAGTAAATGAAGGTTTATTTTACGTTTATATGAAAATAAATATTTAGCTAACAAAAAAGGACAGTTTTAGTTGGCAATTTCAATGCTGCCAATACATTCTTACGGTCCTTTAAAACTTTATTGTAATTCTAAAAAATAAATATATAAATTAGTAGATTGAGTTAATGTATCATGGAAAATGTGAAAATGAATAAATGAATATCTCACGAGAGACCCATACTGTTCGCAATAGGTGTAAAGTATTTATCTCAACAAGAGAAATTTTTATTTCTAGGCGACAAGGTGATTAGCCTCTTGAAGTGGGTTAGAAATAAGTTTTCCAAACACACCTAGTCGTTATTGGTCAAATAATAAAATTAATCTTATTGTTGGAAGAGCATCAATTATATAAAATATAAATTAATGTTGTAACAATTCGGTGACCGTGAGTTAGTTCAACGACTTTAAAGACTACGTGCAAATATAGGAAAATGCGTTATCACATATTTTTCACGCTCAGTTTAACGTGACGTTCGTTACTGATAACGCACTGTTTAATGCACCTACGAATTAAGACGATTCAAAGATGACAAGTTTTTTTGACTGGAAAATGGACAGGACTGAAACCGAAAATGATAAGATTTTAATGGTAAAGACGAACTGATTTAAAAAATAAATTGTTAATAAAACAATGTTCGATGACGACCTCCTAGGACTTCAGCGTCGTTTGTAGGTTGTTAGCTTTATTTGTTTTAAAATCGGGGGTAATAGAAAATCCGGCTAAGACCGTCAGTTACTCCGCGCCCTGAATATATTATAATTTACTGCCTATTACAATAATTCTCGTTAGCTTTAAAGTTGCGTAAAAAAATTATGAGCAGTCACGTACGCGTGGAAAATAAAACGCCTCAGTTCATTCATTCGCAACTATTTTGTTGGCGTTTAATGAGTTACCATTCACGAGGACGGAGCGCAATTTGTATCCATTATAAATGTGACCTGTTTAAAATTCTTTTATTCGTGATCCTTCATTACATTATTTTATCATACACATCCACATATAAGACTAACGAACTGACTGAACTGATGTTTCAAATACTTTTAGCAGTCCTGGTCGCAGTCACGGAAACCACGGCTTGCCGGTGCATATGTTTTATTTAAGATGTACATAGATAACTTTTTTAACAACTCTATTAAACTACGTATAAACTAAAAATATAAATGTCATTAATATGTATGTTTCTTTAGAATTTCTTCTCTATGCCTATTGTATACGTATTACGTATGTAAAATATAGCGTGCAAATCTTTTACTAGGTAATGCAATAAATCTCGGATAAAGATAAGTAAGTAAGTCCGTCTAGACGCTGAAACCTTTCTTCGCTAATCGATCACACACTCGTCATGTGACAAGCGGTTACGGTCAACAAAATACGACTTTTTTAAATCGTGTACACCGTACACTTCTTCAAGACACAATAAATTGTCAAGGCATTCGTCATATATTGTAAATCTTACCGGGCGTAAAAAGTATGCAAGATTGAATGTTAGGCGTCTTGTAGGGATTCCACCATAATTTCTTTGGCCTCAAAACAGAGCCCGGGTTTTAGAACCCGGTTAGAGTAAGTTTTTACAAACTGACTATGAGACTTTAGTTTTTTAAAGTAGTTGAGGTAACTATAGATTTCCTCAATACGTAGATTAGCGTGGTTCTAAAAACCAAATAAAACAATGACCTCGTAGACAACAACTAAAAATATCTAGAAACGTGAAGGCGGGACAAATATTTTAATAATAGGCGAGACAGAGTATTCTAAGTACTTTTTTCAGGTGAACGCGTCCTCTTTCTTTATTCAGTACTATATTTATTGATATGGTTAACTGACCAAATGGCAAAACTGTCAAATCATTACACATTGCAATATAATATTTATTTATGATAAAACTGATAGTTTTAATTCCTATTATCTAACAAAAATAATTGTACTCAATGCGTACATCATTTTTATGTAATGTTCTAAGTATTCGTAAATAGGTTATGAAAACAGAACTGCTTATAAGATGCCCAATATTTGCAACCACAATGAAATCTACGTTTCGATATCAATTCCTATCTGTCGTAAAGGTTTCGTATCTATCTGGCACTGATTTTAAGATAAGCGTAGAAAGTATACAATGCACGATAGCGGCATGATATATTGCTTATCTGTGGTCCCGTTTGCGTTATCTGCACCGAAAATATAGCGGAAGTGTGCGGGTTACTGAAATCGTTGTGAGATTACATCTTTTTTAATATCTCAATGCTAATATTTGAAGTCGTTGTCTTTTACGTGGCAGCACACAGATGGTGTGAGATGTGGCGCTTTACTGTACTAACTTTCTCTGCAAATACATAATAGGTATGTTTCTCTCTTATAAAGGCAATCAAACTATTACTGCAATACGTTTTTATCTGAATGATTAGCATAGTATATAATGTATCCAAATCGTATAACCAAAGTTTTCTTTTATTATAAATTAATATAAAAATATTTTCTCTTAAGAAAGTATTGTATCGTTTTGAAATCACTAGACACGCCCTTAAGTAAATTATGAACGTAATATACTGATAAAGTTCGTGAGAAAACCTGAATTTTATGTAAAAAATGTTGAAGTGTGTCATAGGTCCGTTAATCGGCAATGAATAACCAACATTGACGACCTAACCTGGTGTTCATTTATTTTTAATTGCAATTATTTTAAAAACGAAATCTAAATTAGTATGACGTGATTCGAATGGCTCGTAATTGTATGTGATACAATTTGAATAAACATCATTTTGGTCTTATACAACCCATCCGCACCCATATAATGAGGAAAACATCGTATTGACCGTAGCCGTAAGCTTTAAAAAGATTGAAATATTTTTATGGCCTTCGTTTCAATTTTCTCGGACGATATTAAATATTATTTGAAGGGAAAAGGGGTCCTAAATATCGACACGAAACATATAAACCACTATGTAAATCAAATGTAAGCGAAATTTGAATAAACGTTTTAGATACAAACTTGTAGAATGCATCAAGATAAGTCTGATAAGTGAATTTCTCCGGCAAGTTACGTGAGCGACAGCAATAAACAAACT